GCGTACCTGCAAATTTTATCTAACTAGAGTCAATCATAAAATGAGGATTAGGATGGATTTATAAATTTTTATAGAAATTCATCACAGGATGAGAATAGGGACAAGGATCATAGTATCTAATCCATCTTAGCTACAGTATTTATGCTATATATACTTGTATAGTAAAAATTAAAATTTAATGAGTCATTGTCAATTTAATTTTAATATCTTAAATAATGATATTTGAATTTTAGTTTCATTTAGTTTGAAAAAATTATTGGGATATATTTTGTGGATTATGAATTATTTTATCTCATTATTTTTTAAAAACTTGAATTGCGTTCAAATAAGTTTTTAGGTATATAGACGGATATAATGTCATTCAACAAAGATGAGGATAGGGATTAAAATTAATCAATTGACTGGAGGTAGGAACAATTATAAAGACATATTTCTTAAGCGGAGATGGAAATAAATATATAAGCGCCCATCCCATGTCTGTCCTGCTGCTATTCTTAAATGCCAGTTTGTGATTGAGCTTTAAAAACAAAGTCGATGACATTAATTTTTGTTAATGGACGAGTTCACTGTTATAATTATGAATTAGAATAAGTGAAAAATTGTAATGCAGTGCCTAAGAAGATATGAATAAAAATTTAACATTTAATTCAAATAATATAATAATATTTATACATTTTATTTAAAGATTAAACGTTAATTAAACTCTTAATTTATCCCTTTTTCTTCCTTAATTTAGATCTTTAAGATACAAAACAATTAACAAAGTATTGCCTTCTGTAACTCAAGGCTGATTGAAACATAATGCTGTGAAAATGGATGGTAATTCTCATTCATATTTTTCCCATTTTCATTTTTTCTTAATTCATACTTTGAAAAACTGAGTATGTTCAAGCTTTTGATTAAGAATTTCTTTAATTTCTATATCTTATGCTTTCTGTGTCCGCAGTTATATTTTTTTTTTCATGATATATAGGGCATGGGGAGGGAGTGTCAGGAATTGATATTTTTAATTTTCAAATAAATTTTTTTAAATATTTTACTCTTTAAAATTATATCTTAAATTATCATTATACTTTTAAAAAATTATTATTCTGAAAATTAATGTTTTCAAATATTGGGTTACATTAAAAAGCTTATAAAGTTCTTAAATAGTTAATATATTTTGAAAGCTATTACTATGATAATTAATTAAAAATCTGAGAAATCAAATAAGAAAAAGAGAAAAAGTGAAAAGGGTAATATACAAATCATTGGAAAAAGGTTAGGTGAATTGAAATAAAAAAGAGGGATGAAAAAGAAAGCACACCGTGACTAATAATGGAAATCGGAGGGAACAGAAGAGTATAACCTACTTAACGAAAAGCCCACTGCACAACATAATAACCGCATTTAAATTTTCCTTTACAAGATTTACCTCAAGAGGGTGAAAAAGAAAAATCACCTTATAGGAACAAATAAAAAAAATAATAAAATAAATGACAATATCTTGTTTGTCCCCAAGAAGAAATTTACAACTCCTCCACGCACCAAAAGAAGAAAATATGAGAAAGAGAGAGAAAAAATTGTCGAGAAGAGGGACCTCCCTTTTAGAATGGTGTGCATTCAACAACACAATTATTTGACAAGGAGAGATGGAGGAGGGGAGAAGGAATTGACTAGGGGTTATTGAATAGTTATTGGGTCTTATGGATGCCTTTTGGCCAAGTGTTTGCCATATATTGCACTCTAAAATATTTGTAAACTTTTTTTAAAATTTTTTATTTTTTATAAGGGAAAGTAATCATTCACATGTTCTATAAAGTTTTAGATATATATTTTTTATAATTACATTTCTATTCTATGCTTTTAAGATCAAAAAGTTGTTTTCCCCACATTTTAAGATCAACTTACTTTTAATTTTTTAAAATTTTAAAATAAAATATGGTTTGTATTTAATTTTTAGAACTATCTTAATTGAGAAATGCAATTAATTGCAATAAAGGAAATAAAAGAGAGTCTATATTTGATGATATAAACAAATTAATAAGTTAACAATATTAAAAGAAAAATGATCAATTAATACTTAATATAAGTTCAATACACTTATATTACATCCTGCACTATTAATTTGATCAAAATTAACGAATAAAATTAATTTTCAATAATTTTTAGTAACTAATTTACAGTTATTCTTCTTTAATTAATTATATTTATTGATTTTAACTAAATTAATAGTATAAGATATAATTTAAATGTCTTGAATTTTATATTAAATATTACCTAATTCTCTTTCAAATTAAAATTTATTAAAAAATATTAAATACTGATAATAATAATAATAATTATTTAGTATGAACGAGAAGACAGAGCATGGAGTGGGCCACGTGTGACACTACTATTATAAAAAAGATATATTTACACGTGTTACGTGAATCGAACGTTTCTTCAATTCTTAACGTTAATATATACCATGAAACATGAAATAAAATAAATTTAAGAAATTAATTTCATCAAACCAAACACCTCCTTGACTTACATGCAAGTGGTACGGTGAAACAACTTTTTATGATTAACTTAAAATGATTGTTTTTCCAGCGCATTCCTTTAATTTTCTTGGGCTCTTAAAAAGGAACAAAAATCCATGATGAGTCATGTCCTGGTTTAGTAAGGAAAGAATTGTTTTTAAAGATGTTTATGCTAAAGTGTGGAAAAAGCAAAATTATTCTGTAACCCTAATTGGGAAATTTGTCTCTATCAGACCTTTCACCTCCTGCCATCTGTCTAAGCCAACCTCAGCAGGCTCGGATAAGGTGGAATTTTCATTTTTCCAGATAGATAATAAAAAAATTATTGGAGAGATGTATTTTTTTAAATATAATTAAAAATAAAAACAGCTAGTGTATTGAGTTGCAGGGCATAGACCTGGATGCCAAGGATTTTTTTGGTCTAATTTAGAATAAAATAATTTATTTTTTATTATAGAAATTATGTACACTTAAAAAATTAATTTTTTATTAATAAAATTTGATTTTTCTTTTTTAATTTTAACCAACCAACTCAATGAATCTAAAATTCAAAATCCCAAAATATGAATAACTTAATTAGTGATTGATTTTTGAATTTGACACAGTAAAATAAAATCATTTTTTATCTATTATCGAATTTTTAAGTAAAACAGAAACTTTAAAAGCGTAAAAGTGAAAGAGAAATTATGATATACTTCCTTAAGAGTATTAATGGTGAATTTAGGGTAGAAAAAAATTTTACATTACAGTAATTTTTTTTATAAGTCTCATAGTTGATTGCTAAAAACCAATGACTTATCTTAAAATATCCAATCACAGAAAAATATCAGTAGTAATTTTTTTCTTAATTAACCAGAAAAGAGTTAAAAATTAAAATTTTCTAGTTCTCTTTTTTTTTTTCTATGTTAATTGTTTATATTTTTCCCCAAAAAATTAATAATAAGCTTACCAAATAGATTCTAGTGTCAATTGGGGAATGGGTAGTTTTGAAACTACCACAAAGAAGCAACTATGGAAATGGGTAGCTTTGGAAGTATCAGTTTTATGCTTGGTTTGGTTCTGCCTTTGTTTGATTGATCAAATCCAACTCACTTCTCTTGTTAGCATGGTGAATCAAGGCAAAATACAACAATTAGACTTTCATCAGACTACCAAAAAACAAAAAATTAGTTTTCCTATTTTCTTGTCTGCCAAACTGATTTCATCTCTTTCTAATTGCCACCTTTTTAAACCAACCCAATTCGTGGATCATTTTCTCACACCCTTGACTCAATGCCTTGACTCCAATTCTGCAAAAGTCTTGTGATGTCTTGTCATCATTTAGAAAAACAAAACAATATAATAATAATAATAATAATAGTAAACTCTCTCTGTACTAGTTTTTGGCATTCCTCAAGGTTTTTTCTCTCTCTTTTTCATCTCTCCGGTTCAACCTTCTATCTGCAGCCAGCTCAAGCACAAAAGAGGACTAGCTGCCTAACGTGGCAGAATTACAGATAGGGTAGGAAACCAACGTAGCAACGTGCCAGTGAATCAAATTCTCTACTTTTATTTCTCCAATAATGCTCTCCTTGCCCAACGTCAGTTGTTGTGTTTTGCAACTTAGAAGACTCTGCTTAAACTTTGTAACTTACTCTTGAAAGACCCACTCCACCCCACTCCCAAACCCGCCTTTTGACCTTAGAACTCATCATTTTATGACCAGCTACTTCTTGAGTCCATGAATTCCCCTGGGACCATTTCCAGATTGTAGCTACGTTCATCCAAACGTGGAATTCCGCTGGAGAGAGAGAGAGAGAGTTTAATGTGCATATACCAACCAAATAAGGAAAATTTATGGCATTTTCTTCTCCCCCTTATTACGGTACTATACAGTTAGATTTCATTGAAGAAGTTACAGAGAGAAAACGCAGGGAGAGAGTGAAGGGGGAGAGGAGAGGGGGAGAGTCATTAGCCCTTCAAAGAAAAATCAAAAGAGCTAAAATCAGGAAAAAAAAAAAAAAAAAGAAAGCATTTTCAGAGTCTGACGCACACATTCACACACACTCAACACTGGTAATTCCACAACAAGGACTCAAAACTAGTCGAGATTACACTTTCCACCTGATCGGAGAAACTTCCACAATCGTCACCGACGGCGCCGCCCAGCCACGGCGGCGGGTAGACCCACCCGTCCACCCAGAGTCAACGTACACGAACTCAGTGCTCCACTCGGCAGAGTCGCAGTAACTCGCCCCCAAACTCGGCAGCTCCACGATCTCGCTTAGCTCCTCGAGAGGACGTCGTATTGGAGAGCTCCATAGCCGAACCAACGACGACAGCGAAGACGAGGCCGAGAGAGAGAGCGAGAGCGTCGACGCCTCTGAGGTCGGCGACGGCGGAGGCGGCGGGTCGAACTTATCCATCGCAGCCGCCTTAGCCGCAGCGGCCTGGACATCCCGGGGAAACAGGGAGGCCGGTCGGGGCAGCGACCCCGCGAGCTCCGGGAAATTGAGGACAGCCGACTTTCCCTTGATGCTCAGGGCAGCCACATCGTGGGCGCGAGCCGCCATTTCGGGGGTGGGGAACGTGCCGAGCCAAATTCTCGACTTCTTGCGGGGCTCACGGATTTCGGACACCCATTTTCCCCAGTTCCTCATTCTGACCCCGCGATAAACGGGGTGCTTGTTGCTATCTCGAATCCTCTTGCCGCTCTTGCCTTCCGCGTCGGGCTGTTTCGGGTGGCTCAACCCGGGTGAGGACGGCGATGGTGGGGGCGAGGAGAAGGAATTGGAGCTACTCTCGGGTTCGGAGCTCTGATTCTCAACACCCATTTTACTCTAGCTGCGACCAGATCGTAAGTATGTTTGCCCAGATCGTAAGTATGTTTGCCGCGTTATTGAGAGAGTTAGACAGACAGCAGTGGAGTTTTGCGGGAAGGAAGAGTGAAGCAGAGATTTAGAGCAAGACACGACCAGAGAGTATTTCCATCACTTCCCAATGACTCATACTAGACTTATATGGCGGGCAGAGAGAGGAGAGAGGGGAGAAGAAATGGGTCACCCTACTACAATAGGGTCCCCTCGGGCTAGTCCCACGCAACCCCCATTAATTTCAACTTTTGACGTCTTTCTCTTTCTGGGTGTTTCACCTGGTTTGCACAGTTCATTTATCCCCCTCTTAATCTTATAATTGGTTAATACCCCCTTCGCACTTCACCCTCTGCAAAAGACCAACTCCACAGGCCTATCAGGGTACCTATTGATCTACAGGATAATATGCTGTTAGCTACTTGGTTCCATATTAACTAAATTTTGTTATCAACCAGTAAATTTTGATGAATGGGTCTCACGAATGTGACTTCCACTTTTGGGAAGTTCGGTGTAAAAAGAAAGAAAAAAGGGCTTTTATCTGGCTTTTCTTAAGATAATGCTTTTTGAAAATATTGAGAAATTGAACTATTTTGCGGCATTAGGTGATATTAAAAAGAATGAAATTAAGATAGATTATAAGTATATAATTAATACTAAAATTAGATATTTGCCATTTGGCAAAGATAAAATATCTCAGAATTCAGGTATTATGGACTCCGGGGGTGGTGGGTTTTACAAAAGCTCAAAAAGTTGAACTAAATCTTTCATTAGGCTTGGAACTGTGTCAAACCAAACGGGGCATCCACTAGAGAAGTAAAAGCAGCTCGAACAAGAATGAGCCAAACATGGGATTGGGCAGGTCCAGGACTCCTCAAGTGTAATCCCAAATAGCCCAAGCCTAAAAGAGTTGGGGCTCCTTTCAGTTCGCCATGCTATTCTTATACTTAATTTTTGTTTTTCAATTTTTTTTAAAAGCAAAAAATTAAAAATTTGGAAACTCCATTGCTCTTGTATCATTTCTATTTTCAACTGGAAATAGGTTATCAACATTTTGAAAATGATTTCTTTTTTACTTTCTAAACAGGATTATCTTTCCAAAATTCTATCAAAAACAGTTTTTGAATATAACCCACATCAAAAAGTCTTCAATTTTTGAAAAGGGAAAACGGTTTTTAAATCAAATCCAAACAGGCTCTAAGCTTTTTGAGTGTCTTGCCTTTTTTAAAAAAATTTAATCCCCCAAAAAACATAGTTTGTAATAGAGTTGAAAACTTAGGGGGTTGGTTGGCCTATTTTCTGTTTTTATTTTCAATAAAAATAGAAAATCGACTTGAAAACGTGTTTGATGCAGCGTTTTCATTTTCGCTATTAGAAAACGTTTTCTGAAATTTAATAGAAAATAGAAAATGATAAAAAGTCATTTTCTCTGTTTTCTGTGTAAGTTGAAAACACGGAGGCACGATTGTAATTTCTTTCATTTTCAACGTCTTTTCTATATCAAACATTTCCTTGCTGCTGTGTTTGTCTCCGTCACTCATCTAGGTTTGCTTTGCTATAGTGCAAAACCTGACCACTGCAATGTCGTCTCTCTCATCTATCTTATCTCTCTTGTCTCTCGTTGTATGAGAGCTGAACACTGCATGTCACCTCCCTCACTTCTCTTGTCTCTCTCATCTCTCTTATCTGTTTACCGACTATCGCAAATTTGAACACCTCTCGACTTCTCATTTTCGTCTCATCTTCTTCGCTGGTCAATGTTTGCCACTGGCTCAAACGAAGAGACTAATTGGTGTCAATCGCTCTTATTGGCAAGAGTCAACTTCACTGCCTCTGCCAGCAGTAGAGTTGCAACACTATCGGAGGGTCGATCTTCAAATTTTAGATTATAAAGTTGAAACTTCTTTAAATTGATTGAGGGTTTTTGTTATTGAGATGACACAATGCAAAATCGGTTTGGAAATTGCTTGAAAAAAAAAACCAACACAGCGACGAAATTGAACTCAAGTCGTGATTGGGTCTGTTGGATCCGATTGTTACCCGGCAGAGGTAGGAAACGATCAATTCAGTGAAATTTTATTTTGGTCTACCAACTGTTCGTCTTTCTTCAATCTGGTCCCTATACTATTCAGATTTTGTTTTAAATTCCAAACTTTTTAATTTATTCAATTAAATCTCTATTAAAAATCTTAAAATTCTAATTTCATTCAATTAAATCTGCATTTTCAATTTATTAAAAATAGATTAACCAAACATATTTTCTTTGTTTTAATTTCTTGAAAATAGAAAATGGAAAATCTTACCAAACATGTTTTTTAAATTTGAAAATTTTGAAATGAAAACTACTTTTCAAAAAAATAGAAATAGAAAAGGAAAGGGAAAACATTTTCGCAAACCAAACATCCCCTTAATTTTTTTTTCCTAGCTCATGAAAAAAGAGAAGGAATGGAGTAACTTCTATTGGCTCTGCCCCTCTTTCCCTTGTTTTATTGAACAAATTGTATACTATGGATTTTCTTGTTTCCTCTGGTACAACAAAAATCATGAAGCGTTGGGATAGCCACAAATAAAACACAGTTTTAGATTTTTGAGGGGGGATCCTTGGTTCATAATAGAGCAGTTGATCCACCTAATTGTATGGTGTTGAAAAATATTCTTATTTGCTACAATGATATATATCTTTTGGGACACCTTAATGATTTGTGTGTCCAATGTCCACAGGCCACCATGTCCAAACCACCCAGTGGCCGAGGTTGATTTTGGTCCCAAATGCAGATGGAAGGGACCAAACTGAAGATTTTCAACAATGGGTCCAGACCCATGAAGGAGTTAAATTGCAGACGATGCCATGCGGTGATTTCTTTATTTTATTTAGTTCACTGTGCCGAGTGCAGACATGAAGATACGTTTTTTGGTCTCCAAAGGTTTTATTTTTATTTTCTATTTCATATTGTGGATTTTAAATTATTTTACGTCAGTAAAAACTATTCCAACTTGAATCAATATATGGTAAAATTGTGTATTTATGAAAGTCTGACCCCTCCTTGCGACTTTTTTGGCAATTGATTAATATTGGGATCATCAAATTATCATATAAACTTTTATAATATCAATCTTGTTCTAATGGTAAAAATCTTGTCAGATTGTAATAACCCAAATTGGTAACTAGGGGTATGGTTGATCAAATTAAGAGTTTTAGGGGAAATTGAAAGATGGGCGGACTAAAATGAGTAGAATAGAAGATAGGAGGACTGAAGTGAAAAAAAAAAAAAAAAAAAAAGGTTTCTGGCCGAAAGTCGGCCGAACAACCTGGAAGGAGCGATTTGCTCCAATCAGAGCTAAACAGCTCAAATTGAATTTAAAGCCTAATATATCAGCAGGAGAGGAGTTCGATTAAAGGAAAAATCGAGAAAATTGGTGAGAAAAAGAGAGAGAACGAAGTGAAGGAACCGAGGTGCCGATGACCGGATTTTTGGAAGAATTTGAGTTTTGAGCTCGAATCTCTCCGATTAAAAGGTTTTACAAGGCTCGTGGGGTTTGGTTTGGCTATTCCGAGCTTTCAATTTAACCAGGTGAGCTTCAAAACTGGTTTTTCTTCAAGTTTTGGGCATCCGGGTCCGTTGCAGACCCGGATGCAGCTTCCGGGTGAAGAAGACGGACCGGATGGCATTCGGGTCCGTCTGAGTCAACCCGGGCGGGGCGGCTCGGTTTGCCGAGCCGACTCGGCCTGGACCGGGTACAGGCTGGACTGGGCCGGGTTGGGCTCAGGCCAGGAGAGGCCCGAGCATGTTGGGCCGACCCATGTAAGGGCTAGGCCGAGTCAACCCGTTGGGTTGACTCGGCCCAGTGAGTCGGGAGTTGGGTCAACTCAGCCGAGTTGACCCAGAAGGAAAAATTGGAATAGTCTATCCCAAGAGGATAGGAAATCAGGGATAAGGCCAGATTGGGGATAGTAGGGAATAGCATAATCCAAGATTGGAGGATTAGGGTTTTGGGGTTGACTGAACCAGCTAGAACCGGTTCAAGGTTTGACCGGCCGGTTCAGTGGTCAAATGGACTCGGATTTGGGAAGTTGAGCCAGTTTTGGATTTAGGGAGAAAATACTTATCAAACCAAGTGGGTTCGGGAAATTTTGGGTGCCCGGTTCGAGGTGAACCAGCCAGTTTAGTGTAATTCCTTCGGGTGACCGGTTCACCGATTTTTGGGCCGGTTCTTGGGGAAGTTGGACTGGTTCCTGGTTCAATATGATGAAACCTAATTGACCGTGAAATTTGGTGATGTTTGGAGGTCTGGTTCAAGGTGAATAGGCCTCGGTTTGCGTGCCGATGTCTCGATTAGGGTTTTTGGCCCGGTTCGGCCTAACCTTAAGGGTTTTTGGCTAGGATAATATGATTCCTAAGGTTTTTGAGCCTTCTGAATCCATTTTTGAGGGTCTTGTGGCCAATCGAGTTGAGTTCGAGGTAGTTGTGGGATCGGGTTAGGCCAGTTCGGGGGTTTCGGAGACCGGTTCACTGCGAGTTGGGGGTTGTGGAGACTGGTCCTGTACTGTTAGGGGTTGTTGAGCTGAAGTATGAGTATTAGTGAGTCGCGCAGGGTCCGGTGGTGGGTAGTGGTGCCTCGGAAGCGTGTCAAGCACGGGAATGGGATTTAAATCCTGTTTTGGGCTGCTGAGCCCGTCGGGTACTGACGATGGAATTGGTAATGGTTTTATGTGGCTTGATTTCAGATTCGCCTGTGGAGGAGTATCCGGATCGTAGAGTTGATTGATGTGACCTGAGGTTTTTGGTTAGACTCAGCTTACGGTGAGTGATGATACCTTCTCTGTACCTGTGTTGCATATGTTTTTCTGGCATGTGTCTGCATGGATTTGCTAGACTGTGTTTGATATATGCGTCTTGAAATGCGTGTTTTGTGTTTTGTGAACTGTTGGTAGATCAGGTTAATATGTACCCGGTTTAACTTGC